AGCTTTGCAGCAGTCAGCATGCCCAGACTCTTCTAACAAGCACGGGGTGCTTCGAGCTCATGCACGGTTGTGCTCATCTGCGAGAAGCCCAATTATTAAGAGTCTTTAGGATTTTCAAACCTTATTAAAAGGAGATTTCAGGCATCGTAAAGGAGACCGTTTTTACATCTAGTCTTTGACTTTCGGATACACTTCTCATCTCGTCTCTCTTGCACGGGATCCTTGGCACATGCTTGGCGAGACTTGAAGCTTCAAGCGATCGTACTTGAAGATCGAGAACACATCTCATACTCTAGTTTGCTATTTCTTTTGATTATGGCTTTGTTTATGATTGTTTTAATTCTTTTCTTTAGCATGAGTAACTAAGTCCATAGCTAGGACTATGAGAACTATTGTTCATGAATTTATGAAATTTTGATGTTTGAATCTAAATTTGATTTTTGTTTTGTGATTAGATTTTATCCTATTGCGTTTTTCTCTTAATCCTAATTAATTATTTCGTCAGGCGACCGTACCTCGGTTAATTAATAGATCTATAGGGTAAAACGAGACAAAGAATTAGGTGGGCCAAACCAATCTTTCTCTTCTAATCATTATTAAATTAACAATTTCATAGGTTCCTTAAGCTTTCTCAATTTGATGCCTTGCATTACTATTGGGGATGTTAATTTAGAGAAAAGAATATTAATATTGAATGATCATTTGGTATTAATAGTATTCGTATGAATGATTGGTAATTACAAAGAAATCATATTTAGAATTAAACAGAAAAATAACATAAAGGATTGAATGAGAAAATCCATATGCCCTAGGTTCCTCTCTGATAAGTTTATTGCATGACTATTAGGTATTAATAGTATTCGTATGAATGATTGGTAATCACAAGGAAATCAGATTTAGAATTAAACAGAAAAATAACATAAAGGATTGAATGAGAAAACTCATATGTCCTAGGTTCCTCTCCGATAAGTTTAACCATGACATGCATTGTATTCCTTACTCTTAGTTTTATAATTGATTTTAAAAATTCTTGTTCTTAATTAGTCTCGTATCTTTGAAGCTTAAACAATTAAATTAGGAAATTCTTAATAATTGAAAATCAATCCTTGTGGGACAATATTTTAGAAACTTAATTTAAGAACCATTTATTACTTCTCAATGGGTACACTTGCCCTCCGAACAACTTTTTGGCACCGTTACCGTTAAGAAAATCTCAAATTTAATTGATTTGAGCAATCTATGTTTTAGTTTATTTTAATTCTGTTTTGTTTATTGTTAAATTTTTTTTATAATTTTTGTTTTTATTTTATTTTAATTTTTTTACTTTTTTCACAATTTCTTTTAATATATGCTCACTCATTCTAAGTGTTCTACAACTTGTTTATTTGATCCGGAGATTGAAAGAACAATTCGTAGACAAAGAAAAGAAGTGAGAGTGCAAAGAATGGCAAAGGGAAGGAGATTAATTCAAGATTACATGACACCCACTGCTAGAGGCACTCTTAGAAGTATCGCAGCCCCTAATGTGGAGGCAAATAATTTTGAATTGAAATCAGCACTCATAACCATGGTTCAGAACTCCATACAGTTTGACAAAGTTCTTCCGATTGACAGATACCATCAAATACAATGGAGTCTCCAACAATGCTATTTGACTCCGTCTTTTCCCGTTCTCGGTATCTGAAAAGGTGAATGCTTGATTCGCCTCACTCTCAGCCAACTCTATCACAACTTGGGAAGACCTCACTCAACAATTCTTGGAAAAATACTTTCCTCCATCAAGGTCCTCAAAACTCATGACGGAGATATGTTGCTTCCAACAATATGAAGCAGAATCCTTGTTCGAGGCATGGAGCAGTTTGGAGAGATTTTGAGGAGATGTCCTCATCATGATTTTTCGACATGGAGACATATGCAAATCTTTTACAGTGGCATATCAATCACCACTAGGGCTACAATTGATACCACAGCAAGATGGTTCCTCATAAGAAAAGATCCAGATGATGCATACAAGCTAATAGATGAGATGGTATATTGGTTTTTGAGGAAACATATTGGTACCACCATAGTAGATTCAATTGGCTTAAGCTAGGGGATAGAAGCCCTTAATATTAATTCTGATCATTGGGAATTTAATGATACTAAACTAGAATCTTTTGTCCTCAAATACTTTAGGGTCTTTTATTTTGATCCTTGCTTACAGCCTCATACCTTATGCACTATAACCTATTTCCCTCCCTTAAGAAATCTTGACAGAATTAGGTTAGATGCTAGTATCTCTATGGAGGAAGTTAGATCTGCCTTATTCAGCATTGAGAACTTTAAGTCTCCTTGTCCCGATGGCTTACATACATTTTTTTTTTTTTTATAACTTAGTGGAACAATCATGCCCTTTCTTTACTTTGACTTGTTCTTAATATTTTTAATAACCCTGCTAATATTGCTATCTTAAATGATACTGGGATTACTCTAATCCCTAAAACTGAAAGCCCTGAATATATAAACCAATTTAGGTCAATCTCTTTATGCAATGTTAGTTATAAGATTATCACTAAACTTATAGCTAATAGGATCAGAAAGGCTCTGCCTCATTTAATTTCCAGTAGCCAAACTAGCTTTGTCCCTAGGAGGCAAGACATTGACAATGTGTTGGTGCTTCAAGAGCTGACCCACTCATTTCATAAACTTAAAAGTAGGAATGGCTATATGATAATAAAGTTGGATCTTGAAAAAGCTTATGATAGTCTGAATTGGTCTTTTATAATTGACACTGCATAAAATTGATCTTAGTTCTATTCTAGTTGAAGTTATTAAGCAACATATTTCCACTTCATCTATGGCTATTAACTAAAATAACATTGTGACTACTCCTTTAAACCTTCTAGGGGTATTAGGTAAGGAAACCCCCTCTCCCACAACAAAATATTAGAATAGAAAAGAGGAGGAATCTTAATTTTTGTTCTTAGAAGTGTGTTTCTCTTTTAGATCTTAAAGTTCTAATATTGTTTATCTTTTTTAGATTTCAATAGTGATTTTTTCTTAACATGTAATTTCAATATTTTCATATATATATATATAATTTTCTTAAAGTTTCTCGTTTAGATTTTAATTGCAAACATTAGTGTGTCTTACAACACAAACCGGTTGTATTCGTTGTTGTTTTACATTATTTTTTAAGTTCTTTAAATTAAATAGCAACACATTGTCTAAGCTTTATTCTTCTAATTTTAATATTCGAAAATCTCCTAAACTCAATTTTCTTCATTTCAATATTTGAATTATTGAAGTTTTATCTTTAAATTTACCTTTTTACATAGAAAAAAAAAATCATTAGTAACTTGAAACAAAATAAATAAAATACTTAATAAAATTCAATTTAAACGCAAGATTATACACTGTCTAATATAACTTAATACATAAATTACACACACTACTATGTTTATTGTAAGTCTTTTCAAACAAACCCCTAGCAGAAGCTCTTGAATCTGTCTATTCTTCCCTCATGTTAAATTGAACGTGAATGACAACTTCTCAACCAATGATCTCAGCATGGGAGTTAGCATAGTCTTAAAGATTCGTCGAGAAGATAACCTTGAGATTTTTCTCATTTCACAAGTACGATACATGCATTATTTTGGCAAAATTGATTGTCCAACAAGGATTATACCATCCTTGAATTTGTAGTTATAAACACGTGATTTACAAGAATAATTGACTAGAGATAATGAATTATTTTGTAATCAACCTTTTTGGTAGAAAAATAAATTTTAACTTTTATCTCCTCTTAATTCTCGTTCAAAAGATTGTTAACTTGTAATTATAAAAAAAAAAAATTCTTATAAAGCTTATAAATTTTTTGAATACCTAGAAACTGACAATTTAAACTAAATGGATTTTTGAAGTATGAAGTGAACCTTGCTAACAAATTAACGATTTTGATTCGAGGTGATGTGAAGCATGAAGTGAACCGGTGAAAAAGTTGACATTAAAGACTCTTAAAACATTTATAACCAACAATGCAATTGAGAGTCAAGTGGGTCTAATTTTATTTTATTTTCAAACAAGAGTTGCTCATCCATACAAACTATATCTTAAGTTTAGTTGAGTGGTCGATTAGGAAAGTTTATCAATAAAAAAAAATTATAACTCATAATTTTTTAAAATTATTTTAATAAATAATTTGATATATCTTTTTAAAATAAATATTTTCAGTTTTTTTATAAAAAAAAAGTTTCATAGTTATAATTATAATATAAGTTATTATAAAATAAAAAAAACATATTAAATAAACATTGTTCATAGCTTTCAGCCTCATTTTACTAAACAGAGTCTAATACCCTCTTAATCTTGTATTTCTCTATTGATAAATTAAGTGTATTAGGCTTCACATTTAAATAATCATAGATATACAATTAATTAAACACTTTAGTTTAATTTCTCAACTAAATTCTTAAATTCACATTTATAAGTTTTTCCAACATGTTTCTAACCACGCTTAGTTTTGCAATCCTTTATTGTAAAGTTGGTAAATCTCGACTTGAAAACTTGCCATGAAGATACCTAAGCTTTTTAAAAACGAATTGTACTAAATGCAAACAAAATACTGAAACAACGATAAAACTGAGTACAACTAAAATTAGATCATGTCCAGCTCAAATTAAAAATGACCTAATCAGCATTGCGAAAATTTGTCTAATATTCTCACCCCATTATGTTAATGAAGTAATTAGTGAATCGTCAAATTATAGCCATTTATCACCTAATCCTTCTTTAATCATTAATAATAGTACAATATTAGGAAAAAGAAAAGTAGAGAGAATAACATTTTACAAAGTTGTGGATTGAGTATATTTGAAATTGCTTATTTCTAGAATAATAAATTTTTTAAATTATTGCGAACAGATAATATAACTAAACGATTATTTCCTCAAAATAAGTCTAAACACACTAAATGAGATCCAAAAAAATCAGGAATAAAAGTTATCAATGCTTACAAATTCAAAAATTAACATGAGAATTTACTCAAAATAATTAGTGACCACAAATTGTCATCCTTCACTGCTCCATCAGAAAATTGCCCTTTACATAAAATCATCAGCTGTTTCAAAATTCACAGTGGAAACTGAAAGTATAAAGATAAAAGATCAATACAAAATAGACTTGAAGCTGCTTAAAAAGGATATATTTCACATTCCGTTAACTTACAATAGCTGCTCCTCTTTCAGGAGTGCTTATGATACAAAGTCTACAAAGTGGTACAAATTGAAGATTCATCCAACACAGTGCAAGCTAAATGTCCTCTATAAAATATTATATAACTCACAAGTGACTAATATCATCACTTTGCCGAAACATGGAAAGGGAAAAAAAAAAAAAAAAAAGAATAAGAATCTCATCCATAAATGAACCTTGTTTATACTTTGCTTTTGAAGCTCTTCCCATACTAGCCATCACATGCTAGAGGCTTTGCGTTTCTAAGCATACAGAACAGCCATGCAAATGAGACGTTCGCTTCAATGAGTCTATATGTTGCATCATCTTACTTCAGTTTTAAACCTACTAGCTACTTCAATTCTTTGATACCAAAAGAAGAATTTGAATGCTTTCTTCTCTTCATTTCAGGCTCGCCTAAATGCAAGGAAACAAAATTATCTTCATCAGGGCCATTCCTAAGTTCAGCTAGACTTTTCAGTTCCAAGTCTTCTTTCACGTAGCTTTGACATACCGGAGATTTGCTTGCATAACTTGGTATGAACTGGTGTTCTACATTGGGAGCTGTTTCCATCTCATTTTTTATATGAAATTCACAAGGCCTTAATGAAGGGTTGACTCTTCGAGAGGGTTCATCTTGAACTTGTGGGATATTCAAGCAAAAAGGCTCAAAGCTCTCTTCAAGCTTTTCTTTTATCGGCACAGTGGGAGAGGATTCTCCAACTGTCGAATCAATTCCAGCTGCAAAGCCATTCCTTTGTTCTTGCACCGCAGCTACAAAAATGACCATGGGAAGGAAAAGTTAGCTGTAAATGATCAACAAAATATCATTCATCAAAAAACTAGGATATTGCCATCATTTCATGTTCCTGCTCCACTTTTAAAAATGGTTTGGCTTGGCATGGAACCCACCAGAGAAGCACAAAGTGGCATATTTCACCACATCTTTTCTCAGTCCGGCCTTGAGATTTAAGTGGCCTAAGGGTCATTCAGCAATAAGAATGAAAATTAGACATATCTTAGGTACCACAATGGATTGGTTATGTTAGTCAAAGGAGCTATAATTTTTGTAATTGTTAGTTAAACATCTACTAGTATGCTGTTAGGTCCCATGAACCTAAGGGGACAAGTCCAGCCCAGCTGTGTCATGGGACCTAACATTGCCACCCCCATCAAGAGAGGCCTTGTCCTCAAACGAAAATACTGCAGAAAAGATTCCTGCAATACCTAGAGCACAGCTCCTACAAGGTTTGCACACCCTTGCCCACTACTAACAGCAGAAAAGCATAACTGCCTCTTCTCTCTTTTCTCTCCCCTTATAAGAAACATTACACGTCAACCTACTCTTCGTAACTAATTTTTCTCTTAATTCCCATTCTGCCCCTTCTTATTTCTCCTACTATAAGTTTTCCAAATCCAAGCCCATGACTCAGCTGGGCTGGAGTTGTCCCCTTAGGTTCATGGGACCTAACATTGCCACCCCCATCAAGAGAGGCCTTGTCCTCGAGGCTAACATCTGGAAATTGAGTGGAAAGTGTGAGAGCATCTTCCCAAGTAGCATCTTCAGCCGACTTCCCTTTCCACTTGATTAGCCAATAAGGAACAACTCTCCCTCTCTTCTGTTTGTATTGAACTGCAAGAATCTTCTCAGGGACAATGTTGGCAGCCACTTCGAGCTCCAACTCAGTTGGCAAGTCATCTGTAGGCTGATAATTTTCCACAGCCTTTTTAAGTTGAGAAATGCGAAAAACAGGGTGGATTCTAGATTGAGGAGGTAGTTTCAGCTGATAGGCCACTGTCCCCACCTGTTTTTCAATCTGGTATGGGCCACAGAACCTAGCAGCCAGCTTAGGATTGATCCTCTGAACAACACTATACTGCCTGTGAGGCTTTAGTTTGAGGAAAACCCAGTCCCCTACCTCAAAACTCTGAAACCTTCTCTTCTTATCAGCAATTCTTGATATGATCTTGGGCCCATTGCAAGCGATATCTCAATTGTCTAAGAGCATCATCCCTATCAATTAATTCTCTTTCAACTGATTCCACTTTGGTTTCTCCTAAAGCATACTGCACCAGAGGAGGTTTCCTACCATACACAGCTTGAAAAGGGCTAACCCCTGTTGTCGCATGAAAAGTGGTGTTGTACCACCATTCTGCCCAATGCAGCCAACAACTCCAAGTCTTTGTTCAGAGCAAAAAAACCGTAAATACGTTTCCAAACATTTGTTAATTATCTCTATTTGTCTATCAGTTTGTCGGTGATATGAGGAATTCATGTGCAACTTGGTGCCATTAAGTTTAAAGAGGTTGATTCCAAAAGTGATTGAGGAATAAAGGATCTCGATCACTGATGATACACTTGGGGATTCCATGGAGTTTAACCACTTCCTTAGTGAAAGAGTAAGCAACTGTCCTAGCTGTGTAGGGGTGTTTAAGTGGAATGAAATGAGCATATTTAGAGAGATGATCAACTACCACCAAAATAGTGTCAAATCCCTTGGACTTTGGTAAAGCAGTAACAAAATCAAGACTTATATCCTCCCAAATTTGTTCAGGAACATCCATTGGCTGAAGTAATCCTGCAGGAGATTGAGCTTGATACTTTTGCCGTTGACAAATGTCACATTCTTTAACAAACTCTTGAACTCTCCTTTTCATCCCACACCAATAAAAACATTCAGCCAGTTGCCTATACGTTCCGAAATACCCTGAATGGCCACCCATTGGAGTGCTATGAAATTCATGGAGTAATGTTGGAATCCAAGTCAATGTTGCAGAGATAACCTATCTGTCATAGTACAATAGAACACCATGATGAAGAGGAAACCCAAGTCTAGAAGACGGGTCTTGCTGTAAGTCCAAAGGCACCTTCTGCACAAATTGGTCTTGCTGGATTCCTTCTTGTATTTTCTCATAATCCAACCCCTCAAGTTTTGAAATTAAAACCTGCAAATCCAGCTCCTCTGTACACCTAGATAATGCATCTGCAGCCTTGTTTTGGAGACCAGGTTTGAAAATCACCTCAAAATCATACCCCAACAATTTTGTAAGCCAACATTGTTGGTCTGGAGTTGTGATTCGCTGGTGCAACAACTGGCTCAAACTTCTCTGATCAGAAAAAACTTTGAAATGTCTTCCAATAAATAAGGTCTCCAGTGCTGAATTGACAAAACTAATGCCATGAGTTCTTTGTGATAGGCAGACAGCTAAATTTCCCTCAGAAAGGGATTTACTAAAATAGGCTAAAGGTCTACCCTCTTGCATCAAAACTGCTCCCAAACCTCTTCCAGCCGCATCACACTCAATAACAAATTCTTTACTAAAATCTGGAAGCCTCAAAACTGGTACTTCTTTAATAATTTGCTTCAACTCATCAAAAGCGACTTGTGCTGCTTTACCCCATTGGAAGCCTCCTTTCTTAGTGAGGTCTGTTAAAGGTTTGGCAATTTTGCCGTAATCATTAATAAACTTCCTATAATACCCTATTAGTCCAAGGAAGCCTCTAACTCCTCTTATAGACTTTGGAATTGGCCAATCTAATACCACCCCGAACTTTCTCAGGATCCATGGCCACTCCTTTTGCAGAAATTATATGGCCGACATACTCTATCTCTTGTCTACCAAATTGACACTTTTTCTGGTTCACCACCAACTCATGGTCATGCAAGCAGTCCAAAACATGCCTCAAATGAAGGATATGAGAGCTCCAATCCGTGCTATATATTAAAATGTTGTCAAAAAATACCAACACAAATCTTCTCAAGCAATGTCTAAATACATCATTCATTAAAGATTGAAAAGTGACTAGTGCATTCATCAACCCAACAGGCATAACTAAATATTCATAATGCCCGTTATAGATCTTAAATGCAATTTTAGGAATGTCTTCTTCTCTAACTCAAATCTGGTGATAACCAGGCTTCAAGTCCAGCTTTGAGAAATAAAAAGCTCCATGCAACTCATCTAATAATTCTTCAATAACAAGAATCGGATACTTGTCTGGAATTGTAGCCTTATTGAGAGCTCTATAGTCAACACACATTCTCCATGTAAGGTTCTTCTTCTTTACCAATATTACTGGACTAGAGTAAACACTGGTGCAAAGTCCTTAGATACAGCTCCAGAAGTTCTCACACATATAGTTACCCCTCGTACATGTCTTGTATAGCCTAAATATATACTAAACGGACTCCTTTCTTTTCTAAATCCTTTCAAAGCACTTCCCTTGGTATTAGATCATATGTCTTTTCCAAGTCAATGAAAAGCATGTGAAAGTCCTTTTTATTGCAGTGATATTTTTCCATCATCTTTCTTTCATAAAAGATATATAGTTTTTGTTGTAAACCTTCCTGGCATAAAACCAAATTCATTTTCTACAATCTTAGTTTCCTTTGCAATCTTAGTTTCCCCCTGATTTCTATGTTTAGTTACCTTTTTCTCATTACTTTATAATTTGATTCATGAGTTCAATCCCTCTATAGTTCGCATAATTTTGGATATCACTCTTGTTCTTGCATATAAGAACAAAAGTGTTCTTCCTCCATTCATTTGACATATTTTTGGATCTCAAAATCTCATTAAAAAGTTTAGTAAATCATTTCAGTCCTTGATTTCCTAAACTTTTCTAAACTTCTATAGGGATATTATTAGGGCCAATCATTTTACCATTCTCTATCCTCTTAAGAACTTTTACTTTCGGACTTGGATCCTACGGTAATATGCCAAATTTATCTTGTTGGCTTGCACTTCTAATTCTATTAAATTTTTACTTGCTTCTTGTTTCTCATTAAAAAGTTTAGAAATATTTCTCTAATCAGTCTTTGATGTCTTGATCCAAAACTAAAATTTTTCCTTCTTCGTCCTTAATACATCTAACTTTGTCCAAATCTTTAAATTTTCTTTCTATACTTTTGATAAGTTTATAATCTTCCTTTCCCCATACTTTGTCCCAATATTTTGATAGAATCCTTCAAAAGCCTTAGAACATGTTTCACTCACTGCTTTTCTTGTCTCATTTCTTGCCTTTTGATACCTTGCCCAATTTTCAACATTATTACATGTATGGAAAGTTTTAAAACACATCTTCTCTCTAATCTTCTCTTGCACACTTTCATTCTACCACCATAATTCTTTCTTTTCACACCTCTAGATTCACTTAAAGTTTCGTGTCAACCAACTACTCTCTTTTACTAATTGTCTCTGAAAGTCCAATAGTTTCTCACCTTTAAATAGCAACCACTTAACTCTTGAAACACTAACTTGTCAAATTCTCTATTTATCAGTCTTAAAATGAACATCAAGGACCAAGACCCTATGTTGTGTAGTAAGACTCCTAGAATCACTTTACAATCCTTGCAAATTCCTTTGTCTAGATTTCTTATCGAGAAAAAACCAATTTTTGACCTTGAAACTCAGCTCTTAAAAAGTGATGAGATGTTCCACCCTCTTCTTAAAACATGTGTTCATAATCTTAAAGTCGTAGGACATTGAGAAATCAAGGATTGATTTTCCTTTCTCATTTACCTCTCCAAAACCAAAACCACCATGAGCTTTGCAAATTGTCTTGCTTCACAGCCAACATGTCCATTAAAGTCTCCACTTATGAAATTTTTTTTAGTTTGTGGGATATCTTGGATCAACCCCTCTAAATCCTTCCAAAACTTTGCTTTCAAATGGACTTTTGAGCCAACTAGTGGAGCATAACACTAATGATACTAATAGTGTCTTGTGCAACCAATAACTTCAAGGACATAATCCTATCTCCAATCTTTTTTATCTCTACTATGTTCTTTTTCCAAGTATTATCCATAATTATAGTTACTCCGTTCTTTTCCTTGACTTTTCCTGTGTACAAGAGTTTGAAACTTGTAATATCGACTTCCTTAGCCTTATTTCCAACCCATTTTATTTCCTGAAGGCACATGATGTTAATCTTTCTATGAATCATAATGTCTACTTCTAATGACTTACCTATCAAAGTACCAATATTCCATGAACCTAACCTAAACATATGTTCCTGGACTAACTTCTTTATCCACATTTATCATGTGAGGACCCTTGCACATTTAAAACTACATCCGAGTGCCAATGCAGCAGCTCTAGCTTAATTGACACTGTACTCGAGCCATATAGTGCATTACTTCCGGGAAATGACCTAGCCCTAGCACAATATAGTCATGTGTAATCCATATAAAATGTTTCAATAGGTTTTACGTTAGTTGCCCATGTCTGTACAGCTTATTCAGAAATACAATCAACCATTGCCTCAATACCCAGCTTATCATCACACTGGAGATTGCTGCTCTCAAATTTAGAACTGAATTTGTGAGCTACATCAGTTAAGTACTAGTTTCCTAATTGATTTGTTGAGATTGGCTGAATTCGGTTTAAATGTTTGTGGTGTTCTCTGTTTCTGTTTGAGTTTGAGTTTGCTACTTGTAATAAGCTCTTAAGCTCAAGGGGAAGCGTTAGAAGATAAAATATTGGGGGCATTAGTAGTGTGATTGGCACATGTACTATTAGTACTGGTGCTTGACCGAATTAATATTAGAAACTGGCGCATTAAGTTATTATATTATGAGTAACATCTTATTGTCAATCTAAAAGTACTTTGCTAGCTGTCATTCTCTTCTTCCTTTCCCAATCTAAACCCTAAACTTTCAAAAATTGTGAAACAATAAAGCACATAATACTGCAGCTTTTTACAACTGATATTAACTGAAGGATGAATTATTAATAACTGAAACTTCACAAACCTTGAAGTGATTCATTTGTCGTAATGAGATCAAGTTCAAGGAGATCAAGAAGTCGGCCAAGATCAACTCCACTGGTCCAATTTTCTGGGGGTTGGCCAACTCTTAGTTTCAAACGACCCCGATTAGCTGTTCCACCCCAGATAATACCAACAGGGCGTGGCTTCTCCCCATTTTTTCCAGTCAAAAGAATGAGGCTTCCACTGTCACCTTCAAGGTCAAATGTCTGCTGGTTCTCACCAACAACAAGAAAATCAGTGAGAAAACAAATCCCTTTCTCGTCATTGTACTCTAGGGCATAGGCCATTATAGTCCCTGTAGTCAAACCAGAACTTCTTCCAACTTTAAGCACTTGTCTTCCAATGAGACTGTTGATCGGAGACTGCAAGTCTATGATGTTTACATCGCCAATTTCACCCACTCCTTTTACAGATGTAATTACATTGTTCATATTGAAATCTTCTGCAAATGGGATGAAGGCACCATCAGCTCGCACAAATGTTTCTGCAACATAACAAAATTGTAAAGTGAAGGTGTAGGTGTGAGGGTTCAGGACCCAACAGAAAATTCTAATCCAAAATCATAATTAACAAAATTAAATGAGATTATCATGATTTGACAAGTCATTTTGGGAAGATAATCAAACAGACTCTTTTCCCATTATAAGAATCACTACTAAAGTGCAAAGTCTCCAAGTATCAGAGGGTGAAAGAATTAGATTTAGAAGATGATGTAGGGAATTGGGATGAAACAATATTCAACATCACATTATAGAAATCACTTATCAAGAAGCATAACCTAGAAAATAAAGAGATATATTCATCACTGTAACAAAAATGAAGGGTGCAAATTTGGATTATTCAGCACAAATTATTTCATGTCAAGTGCTAAAACAGTATAACTCAATGAAATAATTAGCAGAAAAACTCAACATTATATTTGTCTGTAGCTGCAGCAGGATTCCACTTTTCAAGATAATTCCCTAAATAGATAGATCTTTAACTCAACTATAAAACAATAATCACTAAACTTCAGGCCTTAGCCTTCGGATTCCAAAGTTTGAAAACTGACCATTCCCTCAAAATCAATTAAACACGAGTAAACCAACAGGTAGCTTTTGCAGTGAGATACTTCTACTTTCGTATTTCCTCAAAAGTCAAATCAAAACATTTTCAAAAGAAACTTCACTTGATTAACTTGTTGACAAATGCAACAACCCCTAATAGATGCTTCCCATTACTTAAAAAAGAGAACGGCAATAACACCTATTACTCTAACCCTGAAGACAAGAAGTTAGAGACCAAATTTTAAGATGCACAAATAGCTATTGACTGAGAATTTTGCCTATGATTATTGACCACCATAGGTAGAATATTCATGATGTTCCTCAATTAAGAACCACATTACCTGGGTTTGTTCCTGCAAAAATTCCATACCAAAGATCATCAGTAATGAATGATGTTGCTCTCTCAACAGCACCAAGATATACACCAGGTCCAAGGCTGGGTGGTAATGGATGAAACATCTTCTGGTTTGGATAGTCTAAATCAACAGCTACATGGCGGTTTGTTAGAAAACCAACTTCTCGATTTCCTGTTCGGCTTCTGACAATAGCACCTAAGGTTCCATATGTCTCTTGGCTTGCAACCTTCAAGGAGAAGAAATTATAAAGGAAAATGGGGAAAACAAGTACCAAGACATCAGACAGATGCCAGCATTAGACCAAGGTTCAAGGTAAAGAGGAGAAAGAATCAATATGTGAAAAATAAGAACCAATCTAATCAAAGCATCATCTGAAACAATTTTTGAAGTACAAGAAAAATTAGTTTATGTAATATCACTCATTTATCAATTAAACAAAAAAAGTCACCGGTGAATGGCATAGCACAAAAATCAAGCTAAAATGAGACAAACAGGATTATTTGTTTACATCTATGAGTCTATGACTGCTCCACCATTTCATACGGAGAAATTTATCTAAAGAAAAATTTATTTCTGTGATGTAAAACGATTATCTCAGTCCATTAAAAACAAGAAATTCATAACTTTGTTTTAGGTGACTTGATAAGCTACAGATGCACACAACCATGCATAAAAGCTCTGACCTAATCCTAAATTGATAAGGTAAACAAATGTAGGAAAACTTCCATTTTGAATCTGCATTGCAATTTCCAATTCAGCAATCCCATCAGTATTTTTTTAAGACAAATTTACAGGTTACCAGCCACAAGTACTCATCATCACTGCAACGCCTATCTTTCATCATTAACAATAATCACTGTGTCTTCTATCATCCATCATCAATACATGCTCCATATCTATAATAGACCAATAACACTTTCTTAATACTCCATTTTCTATCATAGAACAATTAATTAATCAAAACCTAATATTAAATTTATAATACATATAATATAAATAATTTATTGTCATACCATGATTTGAACTGTTGAATTCCCACACCAACTACATATATAGCCAAAGTTATAAAAGTTAAGGCAATCATCTCCTTACAAACTAGCTTTTATAGTTAACTTAGGCTAAGCCCAAATTCAAGATAGTATTAGAGCTTTTCCAACCTGGCCTCAGTGAATTTTCCAGTGTAATCTACCATTCTAACTGGCCTCCTGAATTTCCTAATACAATTTACCAAGTCCTACAACTTTCCAATATAATAGAAAAGTCATGTAATCTCCACACTCTAGATGTTCAATCCTAGGCATGAGGAAGTGTGTTGAAATCCCACATTGACTGTAGATATAGCCAACGTGGAATTTATGAAGGTTAGGAAAATCCTCTCTATACAAGATAGGTTTCCGGATTGAGTTAGGATCAAACTCAAATTCAAGATAAACCATGAGGAAATGTCAATTTCTTTCGCAAGCTTACAATTATATTAATTGGTACCACATAGAACCCAATATATCTCAAAGAAGTCTTGGTTTTCCACTACAATACAACACATTATCATCTAATTTATCTGGAAAGGAAGAGGTGCTGATACCAAATATATAACTGCATTCCACTCCATAAAAATAAAAAGATGATGATGACCATGCTGGCAAGATGGTATATCTCTTGTTATTATCAAATTAATAAACATTAGTTTCCTTTTATTTGCATTTAGTGTACAGAAAATGTAAAACACAAAAGAAATTGATTCTTCAAAGCAAAAGTACCTGAGAACCAGAGCCAACACAGGAATCACTTCCTCTTAAGCCATCAGCAAGCTCCGTATATAATTGTTCTTTAGGAGTTTGTGCTGGTGCACCATAATAGGAGAACTCCACAACATCCACATCACACCAAACGCCTCCAGGCCCCTGTTTGGAAAATTAAGAGATGACTTCAGCTTCATTAAATAGAAAAGCTTCATTAAAAAATAGAATAACCTTTTGATCTTAAATAATAGTGACATAGTGTCATTGTTTCTTTAAGGTGGTATTTTATGGAAAAAAAATAGATTTTATAATAAGTTAGGATATTACCATAAAGCATTAGTATGTTTCCCATTAATCCATAAAATATGTCTAATCAATTTACCAAAATCCAAAAAGAAAAAGTACAAAAGTGTAGTTTACTAGACTATATTTTATCAGCATTTGCCACCAAAAAACGTTAAAAAAATTATGTTAATGCAACTCAGATTTACATCAACACAGATTAGTATAAGTTAGGGGAGGAAATTGATCAATGTAAAGATATGAGAAATTGTGAGAGAAGTTTACTTTCTCATACTAGCAACTTCTTAATCATTTTCTCATAAGATATCATTGTAGGCCAAAGATAAATAAATGCCATTCACTGTTCACTTCCTTATCATTGGGTCTCCCAAAAATTTCTGAACAACCTGCACCTGTTTTTTATGCTAAATCATAGTTTATTTGCAACTAAACACACTCCTGAACAGTTAATAAGAGTTGTGAAAACTTTTTCCGCATTTTAAAGATTTCCCATGTCTACCATTCTATAGTATTTTTCTTCCAATTTATAAATTGAAATCATAGTGGCAATATATTAACTATATGTAAAGACTAAATACAAAGACAGAAGTAATAGAAACAGAAAGGGTAAATAATCAATAATTCAATTGAAAAGTGTAAGGAGATTCACTAAAGCCATGTAGAAACCTGCAACATAGCCAGAAGAACCAAAATTCCCCACCTCAAGGGCAGCAGGTAGGCACTGAACATGGTTGAGCCATTGCCTGTGAACTTTACGAGCAACGAAGACAAGAATAGCTGGAATATCAGTCAAAACACCTCCTCTAATCCGAAATCCAATTGCAGTGCCAAGACTGAATCGGCGTAAGATCTTGCTATGAAAAGCCCTAATAGTCATCAGTTCAAGCAAGGTAGTAGCTTGCTGTCCTGTTGGCAATCGACCCAAAGTTTCAGGTAGCACACCCTTTTGAAGGTTCCCAAAATAGTTGGCCCTGTCTTCGGCTGCATCATTCCAGCGACTCAACGTAGGCCAAGAAAAGTAGGCAGCATTGCTCTCAGAATGCTGAGCACCTGCTGCAAAAGGTTGCAAGGGTGAAGGGCTGGACAAAGGATTAGGATGAACATAGTAGCTCCTTTCCAAGTCCAGGGCTGACTCCTCCGATTGTGATGATCCAGAATGATGACCTCTTAAGTCCAATCGAGTCTGAGTCATTGGTCAATTTTCCTACATCACACTTACAGTAGCTTACCAAACTTAAATCACTGATGACCCAGATCAACTTAACCAAATCTAAATACTATTTTCTGTTACATTCAAACTACAAATATTTTTCAATTAACTAAACAACTTAAAAATCAAAAAGGAAAATTGTTCAGAGGGCATATTTTTATACAGATTTCTTTACAGACATGTCCAGCAAAAGAAAAAACGTTTTTCTCAATGTAAAATTCATCTACATAAAGTAAAACTAAAACTAACAAGTAAATAACAAAGAGATGGGAAATAGAGATCATTAAGCAAGTTGTTCAATTGCAAAGTCCAGCCCAATTCTAGAAATTTACCATAGGAGGACATGAAATAAATGCTATCAAATATAATGGTACTCTAGATTAACATACGAATTATCAACACCACTCTGAGCACAAAAGATTAAAAAAAATAGAACTAACATCTCCCTGAATCCAATTTCATAACAAATGCTCAATTGACACACACAAAGTAAAGCATAAGAAGAAAAAGTAGGAAATTTACGAATCGTGATGCAGTGTACACTATAGAATCCCGAATCTTCACACGCACTAACAGCTTAAAAATCTGAAGCTTAGCAGAAGCTAGATGCTTTTATCAGAAGAGAGAGTAAGAAAGACGAAAATCCAAACAAAATACAGCCATTTCAGCAAATGGGTAACCAAATAATGGAACAATGGACATACACTGTGCAAGAGAGAACGACAAAAGACCCATCTCGGGCCAAAAAAAAAAAAAACAGTTTTTTTTTTAGCTGAGGCACAATCAGTAGAAAACAAGACGCAACCCCATTAAAAGGGGTTGTGCAAAGATACAATCTTGAAGGCTGGGTCAGTTAAAACTCACCGATCAGCAATGCTGAAGCAATGGAAATGGACTCCAAACAGAGGAGCTTGAAGGTTTTCATGCCCTAGTACATGTAAATTCTATGCCAATCATCCATCAGATTAAGATTTCAGAAGAAGGGTATCACTTGTTCACAGCAAAGTTCAATCGGGTGCATTAGAATAGTGAGTATCACTACTCACTCAGCTATGCCTCCTAAGCTTCCCTTTCTTGCTTTGCCTCAACTTCGTTGTGTTGTGTTCGGGAGTGTATGAGTGAGTATTGAGAGAGAGAGAGAGAGAGAATAGTGATGATGATGAAAGAGCGCTAGCTAGCTATACTTGTGGATTGTCGAAAAGCATTAATATATCAGTATGTAGTGTCTACTCCCAATCTACAATGTTACATGGCAATACGAAAAACAATTTATTAATATTCTGTATTTCTAAAGCATCCTCAATACCCAAAAAATAGTAAAAAAAAATTTATGAAAAATTATAATATTTAAAATAATTAACATATTTTATTATTTTAAATAAAAAAAATTTATAAATTTTTATTATATGTCATTAGATATATATATATGTATGAAATAGCTTTTAGCCTTTTTTATGTTGTTTTTACGTCATTTTTTTCATATATTTGCCCTTTTTTGAAGGTGTGGAGATTCTATTCCTGTCACAGCTTGCAATTATGAGTGGGGGAATTTGAATGGAGGAGACATGGGCACCCAGGCAATAGGGAAAATAATATACATTTCTTAGATACAGATGATATTTATTGATTTATTTACGTGGGTGGGGTTTAGGGGGCCATCCCTGTTTGCTCCCCAAAAGTTGCACACCCTTTCAATCTAATAATTCATTTCCCACCTATCTATAATACTAAGCCTACCCAAACCCAAAAAGGAAACCAAACCTGGTGCCCTTATTTTTTTTGTCTACTCCACTTGCTTCTTTGGTCACATGCTGCTATTTATTTTAAATTTTTTTTCTTCCTTAATTTTCATTTCTTGTTTCTTTGGTTATATTTTGTTCCTTTTTTTTCTTGTAATTGGAGTTATTATCACTGAAAATAAGTAAAATGATAACAAAATGATTGGCCTGTACCAAACTACTTTAAGAATTCGTAGGCATGATCTTAGCTTTTTGTGCAATCGTTCATCCAGTGTTCTTGAGAACTAGCACATTTTTATTCTTGCATAATCTCCAATTTTAAATGATACCAAGCTACAGAAAATATATCCTAAACCCTAAACATGATTTTAGGATTTTAAATGACAAGACAAACAAATTATCCTACTTTTCATCCATCAAAGGAATTCCTCCCTTCAATGGTTTTTTTTTTTTTCTAGCAGACAGGCAATGAAATATTATGAAGTGCTCAAGAGAGAAACAATACATGTTGCCTCATGTGCTTATTATAATAAATAAATATATGATTTATTAATATTAATAAAAATAGTTGTATATTATAAATATATATCATTTCTTAAAAAATATATATATAATGTTATTATATATTAAATAAATAAATGTATTTATTTTTCAGAAATAAAATGTGAGTATTGTAATAACAAAAATTTTATAATAAATAAAAAGTATATAAAGAATTTATCAATTAATGTATTTTTAAAAATATTTTTATATTTAAGATAAAAATAATTATTACTATTTTTTAAAATAATATTAAATTAAGCTCATACACAGTAATACGGAAAAGTTTTGAAAAAAAACCACAACTTCCTAATTTTCATAAGTTAATATGTGTTTGAATTAGTTATAAAAAAATGACCATTTCAATAATTAAATATGTATATAATTAATTATATAAAATAATTTTTATGTCTAGATATGTTAAGTAAAAAATAATGTAATCTTTAGATTGTGTAAAAAACTTGCTTTTTTTAATAAAATTATAAAAAAATATAAAATTATTATAATAGTTGATTTTATATTTAAAATAATTATTTATTAAAGATAAAATCAGAAAAAAATTAACTGAAATTAATTTTAACTTTTAATCATAATTTCAAAATTTTATTTATCTTAAATAAAGTATTTCATAAAAAAATCAAAAACTATAAAATCAATCTATAACGAATATAAAACAAAATTAAATAGTATCATTTACAGTTTTCTCTTACATAGGAAAAAAAAAATCATTTCAAACATGATCTTAGGACCCATTTGTTTGAGCTTTTAAAAAATGATTTTAAATTGTATCAAAAAGTGATTTATATTTTTCTGATTTTATAAAAAGCAGAACTTACATCTTGGTTGTTTACAATTATAAAAATACTTTTATTTTAAAAATTAGTTATAATTTCAGCAGTTTTTGAAAAATATTATAAATATCTTTTCAAAATAATAAAAAATATATTTTTCCATATTTTAATATTTTTCAAAAACTTAAATATACACTAAAGTCCTTCAAAATATTTTTTTTTCAAACTAAAAGAAATCTATATATAAAAAAGGGAATTCTTTCCTCAAATTATTGGTCCATCACTAGTTTCAAAATCCATCACCCTCCATTTCCAATATCTGCTTCCATCTTAAAAAAGTTTAAAATTTTCATTAAAATATAATAATAATAATAATAATAATAATATGAATAAGAATATAAAATTATTTAAATAATGAATATTAAAACAATTAAAATATCAAAATCTCATCTTTTTGTATAACGAACATTATATATTGTAAAACCTAACAACCAGATTATGATTCTCTCCTGTAGTATGACTCTCATGTTCTATATTTGTGCATTTTCACTTAAACAATTATGTTTAAGCGAAAATATAAAAATACAGGCACATAAGGGTCATGTTCGCTCTAAAAAATGAGAATAACAACTATCAGCACAACTTTATCTTTAGCGTCTCAACTTTACCTTGGATAGTGGTGAAGACAATCTAAGCTAAACAATAGATATTCTCACTTCTCTTCTATTTTTCTCTATCTATTTTTTAACTATTTTCTCCTCTTCTTTTTATCATGATAACTAATAATACTTTATAAATAACTAAACATTGATAATTAAATTTAAACTCATGAGTACTTATCAAAATTTAACTTAATTTTGATGAAAAATTATTTTTTTATTGTGTTCTGTTTTTTTTATTTGGCAAAAATCAAGAAAGGGGTGGAATATTTTTAACAACATTAAAAAATAAATTTAATTTTTAAAAATTTTGAGGTGAACAGAATAAACAGATTACTCTAGCAGGCTCTATTTAGACGCGGGATACAAATAAAATAAAAATAGAGTAAAAAATTATTATTTGAATAATTAAAATAAGAAAAATAAAATAAACTATATTTACTTATTTAGATAAATAATAAGATGTTAAAATATATTTGCTTATCAAGGTCTCCCTCCTCCTACCAAATCTCCTTATTTTGGGGACATTCATTTTTTTCTATCTAAATTTTTTTTTTCTTTCTCTTATCTAAATATCTAATTTTTTTCTTATTTTTTCTTTTTTTCTCCCATTTCAATAAAAGACTTTAAATAAATATAAAAGATAAGAATGTTATTTATTTAATTTTAAAATATTCTGTATATGTTTTTATATTATTTAAATTAAAATGTATTTAACACATAATTTATTTGAAAATATATAGATGATATAAATTAAAAAATATAAATAAAAATTTGTAAAAAAGTTACTCAAATTTAAATTTACTTTCTTGTCCAAGCTTTTAGATCATTACGTACTCAATTGATGGAGACATGCAAAGGAAAGTAACTTGCGGGTTGCTGCTACGGTGCCTTAAATCTTTACGGAACTACGCGTAACTCGAAAAATATGACATTTAAACTACCGTATCAATCTAGTATTTTATTTTAGATTTTAAAATATTATATTACTCCTGATTTACGAGACTTTTTAACCAAAGTAATATATAAAAAAAATAAAAATACTGAAATAAACATGTTCTAAAAATATTTATTAAAGTAGAATGATTTACTGTTTATGTACAGAATTCATTTTTGAAGACGAATTCTGGTCTTCGAAATTGTGTCTGTACAGTAGATTTCTAAATAGAATTCGATTTTGGGGCAACCGAATTCTATACATAATTTGCATTTTTGTTTTTATATATAATAAAAAAATATTATCTAATATTTATGTTTATATAATTATATATTGTTAAATTTAATAATAAAAATAGTTTTAAATAATAAAATAAAATATATTATTTGAATTCTATTTTTATTTTTATATTATGTGAAAATAAATATTTATATTATGTTAATTTGTGTGACAAATGCATCCTCTCATTTTGTAAATTACTTTTAATATGCTGCGAGTTCACTTCTGAGAGCGGTCCAATTTTGAATCGCTCTCCAAAGTTGACTTCTGAGAGCGGTTGAAAAAAACTCGCTCTCTAAAGTTGACTTCTAAGAGCGGTTAAATACGAACGACTTGTGAGAGCGGTTGGTTTTGAACCACTCTCCAAAGTTGACTTCTGAGAGCGGTTGAAAAAACCCCGCTCTCCAAAGTCGACTTCTAAGAGCGGTTAAATAAGAACGACTTGTGAGAGCGGTTGGTTTTGAACCGCTCTCCAAATCCTCCAGCTAAACTCATTCCAACCTTCATGCGTGTACGAATCCATGTTTATATAATTTATATATTGTCAAATTTAATAATAAAAAGATTGTTTTAAAAAGAATAAAATAAAATTTATTATTTGAATTATATTTTTATTTTTATATTATATGAAAATAAATATTTATATTATGTTAATTTGTGTGAAATAATAATTATATATTTATATTATGTGAAATAATAAAGAATATTTGGCATATATTTATTTGAATATGTAAATGATAAAATATTTTTGAATTATTATTTTATTAAATTAAAAAATATGTATATAAGATAAATAAAAATAATAAAGAATATGATGTAGAAATTTAAAAGTATATTTAAAAGAAGAACAAAAAGCTAACTTAACTGGACGTTATATTAATAAATGTCATAATTTTACTTCCCACACTCCAGCCCTTTTAAACACTTTCACATATTAATATTAAAATTTCTCATGTTGCATTTTAAATGAAATACTTATTCAAAATAATATTATCATATTAATATTCATAATTCATATTAAAATGATTTTGGAGAGTGGTTCGTATTTAACCGCTCTTAGAAGTCAACTTTGGAGAGCGGTTCGTATTTAACATCTCTTAGAAGTCGACTTTGGAGAGCGGGTTTTTTTCAACCGCTCTCAGAAGTCGACTTTGGAGAGCGATTCAAAATTGGACTGCTCTCAAAAGTGAACTCGCAGCATATTAAAAGTAATTTACAAAATGAGAGGATGCATTTG